TGCTCCAAGTTTAGGGGACGAATTAGGGGACGAATTGTCAATGTGTAAGGTCGGTCCGTTACAAATCCCAGCTTTTGTGTGCAAAGCATCCTGCCCCGCATATGTGCCGCTCAGTTCTGAGAGGGCTTGCCATAAAGCTGCATGTTTGTCGCTGGCAAACCCACACCGTTGGCGCGTTAAAGAAGCCAACGATGTCTGGGTGATTGCTTGCAGAGTGCGCCTGCATTATGACGAAGTGGCTAGCCACCGACCACTCGGGCCAACTTGACCTGTTGGGCTAGCATGGCCGCACGGCGGGTTCCGACAACTTGCGAAGTTGACTCTCAGCTTTTTCCCCATTCCCCAACTGCCGACATGCTGTCGACACCGACTTTGATGATGCGCGCTCGTCACTTTCCCTTGCCATGGTTTTGCCAGCCCATGGGCGTGCATAGAGAACAACTAACTTGCTGCGGGCTTGCAATGACAAACTGAACCCTTGCAATTTTTTCCGTGTGTTCTGATGTCATTGCGAACGTTTGCCTTGGCCCCATAACTGCCTGCACACATTAGTTTTGACGTCGTCTGCTTGTGACAACTGTCTTCTGTCCTCGTGCAAGGCGGAGACCCTGGTAGTAGGCTTCGCCATGGCACCTTGTTTCTTCCACCGACGTCGATGTGCCTCCTTCATCGCGATTTTAACGTTGGCGAACATGACATCAAGCCTTGGATTCCATGTTTACTGACGGGGGGCATACCGTGTGTCGTAGGTGCCCGTCGTTTGGAGCAATTGAGGTCGGCGGCGCAGACCACTGTGGGGCCGACGTGGCAGCGGTAGATTTCGACCTTGATGCGTGGGGGGCGCACCCATGGTCACGCTGCGAAAACAAATGGCGGAAGTCGCAAAAACATTCGCAAACATGGAAGGGAGAGATAGGACAAGAAGCGGAAGAACGGAAACAAAACATAACAGCGGAGAAAAAGAAGAAGAGAAGAAAGAACGCGACGAAAGGGAAGATCGAACCCGGTCTCCGGGGGTTCCCCCACAGCGTTGGGTAGTATCCTCGTGATGAGTTGGTGCTTGAGCCATACTCGGCATAATCATCGCCAACCATCCATTCCCTACTTTATGGCCTGGGACTGAACTTCCTTTCAATGTTGTATTCTGGTCGTAGGTGTGTGTTTTACCTTCTCCGAGACGTAGTGCTGGATGGGCTAGGTCAATCACAGGTCAACGTCGAGGACCATCCATACCCGTAAGTCTGGTTGGTCCTCCCCTTTGATACCAGTGTTGAATCAAGATGATTTCGGACTTGATATGGAAGTATATGTAGTCCATTCTCCTACTCTAGAGTTGGACCCACTGATCAAAGTCCTCATACAGGCTTGGAGCCTGTGGTCCGGGGAGACCTGCAAGCTGTCTGAGAGCGGCGTCTGTTAGAAATCAGAGTTGAGGGCGACTTTGAATTCCTACACCCTTGATTTCTCGGATACATATCAACTCGTATGGTTGAGTGCGAGTTGAAAGTCTGTTGTGAAACGGGTCGAATGTTTCAGCTGAGGTTGTTGGCATAGTCGAGAGGTTGCGGTTGTCTAGGTTGAGGTGGCTTTTCGCGTCACATTGGATTGAACTGAGGTTAATCCTGATGAAAAGTTCTAAATAGTGTTATTAAAGTCTCACAAAGGGAGGTTGGGCACGTTCCTGTGATGATGGATGCAGTTGGTATGTTGATGCACTGGTATTTGGTAGTTCATTCAGCGTTGAGATGACGTCGCCCCGCTTCTTGACCCGCGACGGGACCTTTCTTCCGACGACCCAAATCTCTTTCTAAATGAGCATGAACTTTTTAACTCAAGGAAAGAGAATCCCACACATTGTCGTTGAATAGGGGGAGATAGTCCACCGAGTCCGGCTCTGGCTAGGGCCAAGTCACTCATGGCAACCAACCCATGCACGACACTATAGTCTCTCCTTTCGGCCTAGTATTTGGAATAGAATATCTGTAGGACCACGTTGGACAGGGGTGGTTGGGCGGGGTAGCGAGACAGGTCGTCGGCGATGGAGCCCGCCTCCGAAGGAAGCGGGACGTGCTCAATGATGGTGGTTCGACATGCGATTGCTGTCATGCCAACTCGCAGAATGAGCGACGACTCCGTTATTTGCTTAGTCTCATTTCTCTAAGTGTAATAGAGCGTGTAACATGTTGGTCTTTATAGGCGACGCAATTGCCTCGATCAAGGGGGGTCACGGGGATGGTCTGCCCCCTGAGTCGACGGATTGAAATCTGAACGATCCCTGCAACGAAGCTGTTCGACTGACTATTTCACTCTTTGAAACACGGTTTCAAGGTCCACAACAGCAAATTTGGTCGTGGATTGACCTCCCGTCCATCACATCACGCATCTCTTCCTGGGTCCACAATGAAGGGCAACTTCTGGGATCGGAGACGTTGTCTCTTCAGATGCTGTCTTGTTGAAAAGCGACTCAAGAGTTGATTCAGAGTAATAGCGTCGCATAACTGGGCGATAGAAGAGAAGAGAATTGACAGGGTGTGAGTTGATGATTCGAGACGGTGATGCACCCTTGTTGGGAAGCGGCCGAGCAGGCGATTGGTTCACCTGTCACCCAATAACAGCATAACCCATTTGAACGATCATTTTTTAGTGTTCTGATCGTTCTATGCTACTTGTAGCAATGTATACTTTCTAGACATCGAGGCGTGGGCTGCGAATCCAGGACCAAAGCGATTAGCTCGACCTGTCGAAACATCACGACGTTTGGAACTAACCGCAAGAACTCTGAAAAAAGAAGTTGTCATTACTCTACCTTCGTTTCGAACAAAAATACTTCTGACCACGGTCACCACCTTCCTCGTGCTGGCAGGTAATATGGCCCCGGCACTTTGCTGACGGAAGACCAGCTCCAGGTCAAAGCTAGGCTGTAGCCCGAGGTTGCTAGACCCAGAACTTGCCCCCTCACGACGTATTCAACGTTTCTCACGTCGAATAAGGTGAATTTAATAGAGCGGGGTAAGACCGAGCCGATCATGCGGCAAAGACTGTTGAGCCCATGGCCGTCTCCTGCTTAAGCGAGAATTAGGATGAGCTCCGTTGTAGATTGTAGGAGCTCACAATGCACTATGCCTTCTCACATTTCGTTGCGGATATCGACAAAGACATATCTCACTCTATTTATGTGGAGCATTTACCAGAGACGCTGCTTCTGAATCAGTTCTCGGCATTCCTGATGCGTGGAATGAGGAGCCACTTTCGAAGTCTGATTGAGCATAAGTATAGACCCATCCTAAGTTGTGGGATAGCTTGGGCAGAAATTGACCATGCTTCCCTCCGATTGCTCCAAGTTCTAGGTATTTTAGTGGCATGTATATTGGTGGATGTTGTATGCAGCCACTTGAATATTAGCTACGGAGGATCGTCAATCTGTAACAAGGTAGTGATAACACCAAAGCGACAGAGACAGAAAACGTACTTAGAATATGTGGAATATGGTAAATTCAACTTGAGTCGTGTGAAAGCACAGAACCATGCCGAAAATGAAGAGTCTTCAACGAGATGATTTACGTAGGCATGTACTTCCGAAGAGATCTCGCCGTCAAGAGGCCACAAAACGAGGAAAATCATATCCTGAAAGATGTAGGTGTTCCTCGGGGAGTAGTCTCAATTTCGAGACATCAAGGCACAGACTCAACTTTTCTGCTGATAGTTAGTTGGCGATGCTACCAAAGCCACCCGTGCCACCCGTGTCACTTTCGCAGGACGTGCTTGCTTTGAAAATTATCTAAAATGTTGCACACTATTTCTTGGCTTTAACTTTCCCATTTATCACAAGATACGCCGCTGTCCCTTCTTTGGCATTGAATAGACCATAGATTTTAGAAGTTGAGGTAGGAGGAAGATGAGTGATTGGACTGTGAATTGAGGTGCGGAGTAGAGGCCATTGGGCTAATGATGAGCTGATTAAATCGAAAGATTCAGGAAGGCTTGTGCAGACCGGCCTTTCTGCCATTTTCCCTGGAATCAGTCTCGTAAGGACATGCTAAGGTTGAATTTGGCATCGATGTTTACTTCATGATTTCATGTCACCACTCATCTCCTTCTAAATCCAAGACTTTCAGTACGCTTCATCACTCATGTTTTAGTCTTATGCGAGCGAGTCTGTGCTAAATCTATACAGAGAAGAATGTCTCATCCTGCTGACCCCTCGTCGGGACAGAACTTCTTTGTCACAAATCCGTCGTTCTATCCACTGCCAAAGACGAGAAGACAATGCTAAACTCACACGTGGAAGCGGACGTCTAAGCGTTGTGTGACATTATCAGGGAGAATTTGCCCAAAGCTGTCGGCCACACGATCGAAGGCCATTTAGAGGTAGTCAATTTGAGGACTCTTTGTCCGCATGGCATGTTTTCAACAACGCAAATTTTGGCGAGTCTGCTGCATTCGTCGCCAATGGAGCAGTTGCTCTTTTGCTCAGACCAATTGCGAAGCAGTCGGATGGGGATGTCAAAGAACAACTGTGGTAAGGGAGAAAACGGAAGGGCTGAATACAGGCAAAAGCACATACTGCTGAATTCGGTTCAGAGTTCTTTTTTCATCACTGGAATTGTTTATATAATATTCGTGGACGTGCAGCCATACCAGCAAATCTTCTACACATCATCACTCTCGTTTACCAAGCCAGTCCCATCGCTACATTGACCTTCATTCCGACTGCAATGTTTCAACCATTGTGTTTGGCCCTCGCCGTTCTGGCAGTCGTCCCAATCGTCACCGCCGCCCCGAGGGTAGATATAAGCAAAACGAATGCGCTCCTAACAAGCCCGTCATTAATCCCTTCGCAAGACTTATTCTCATTCGAGTCATGGATCGACGGCATCAGCACAAACCCCAACGGAAGTCACTTGTCATCTGACGAGGCTATCGCTGCCGCCATTCGGACCCCAATGAGTCGCGGGAAAGGCGTCGAGCAACCAGACTTGCAACGCAAGAATTCTCCCACTATGAATGTTTTCAGGAGAATTCTGCTTCAGTTTCGCAAAGTTGTCAAGAGCACTAAGCCTGGCGAGAAGGGCTTGAAGACCGACGAGGCCTCAACTGTCGGGATTGGCCTCGAAGGCGTCCAATGCAACACATATCCGAGACAGCTGTCGATGGTAAGAAACTTCACGGCCCATCAGGAATGAAGATGGGGTCTGACTTGAATCAAAACATAGGTTTCCAACGTCGTGTTTTGCATTGAGCATTTAGCCCGAATCGGGAACAAGCCTTGCTACACACAACAGGTCACGAGCTACTGTCAGTCGGGGCCAGACTTCATCATCGGATGGAGAAAAATTGATGAGCTGTCTATAAACGCTCCGTCTTGGTAGGAATTTCATGTATCATACGCTACATCGGCAAATGCAGAACGCTGACCTCTATGTAGTGCTGGGGTTGCTCGGAGTGCTGGTAGGATCATGGACTTCTGCACATTCAATGGTAAGGTCATGGGACAGACAACGGCGTTCGATGACCCTGCCGTGGGTGTGATGATCAGGGCTTTCCCTGAGGGCAAGCTCCCTGACAATATCACGGCTGAGTAACAACTGGTCATTTGGGTTGCCTTCTGAGAGTCATCTCCCTCACTGAAAATTGTGAAATATCGGCGAAAAATTTGCCATTTCAATTCTATTCTTCGAGGCCTCATCGGAATCCCTCGTTGACGGTCGCTTTGTACTTACAAGTTAACAACTCCACCGGTTTTGGGCGCTGAGATTATCACCAACGCGAGGTGATAGGGCGGACAGTTCAGCATATTATCCTAGTTCCATATTCTTCTAATTATACAAGTATGATTCCCTCAATTTACACATTCGGTAAGTAAGATATATTGTTCTTCAGCTCAGCTGGCTTCAAAAGATGTGCAAGCCGAAGCAAGTATATGCAATAATCGGGGTTATCTTCCTTATAATAACATAACCGGTCATTCAACGCTCATGCCGCACAGACTTTATGCATCTTTGACTCGCTTTCTCTGATCCCCATCAATGTCTACTTCTGCATCACGTCGCCAAATCCACACCCAAAATGGAGCTCTCTAGGCCGTTCACCTGCACAGAATGCTCCCAAACTTTTACCCGAAATGTTAGTTACTGTTTTTTTCCAATCAAGACTCATACTGATAGATTGCGTAGGAAAACCTCGAACGGCACAAGCGCTCAAGTGAGTCCCACTCGTAACCCCCCTTTCTTGCATGATGATACTGATTACCGGCAGGGCACGGAAGCGACAGCCGCAGACCATTTAAGTGCTATACATGTCGCGCACGATTCACTAGGAAAGACGTCTGTAAACGTCACTCTGAGAGATGTCGCGGCGCCTTCGGACGCGTCCTGACGGTACTTGGTGCAGAGGGTGAACCAGAGCACACGGAGTCAGTCATCGATGAGACCGCACTATCGTCAAATGATCCAGACGCGGACGATTCGCCTGAAGCGAATGCTTCTGTGGACACAACTGTTGCTATGAATGATGAGACATATCATGATAGCTCGCCAGAAACAGGCGGAGGGACCGCGTCTCGGGACTTACTATCATCAGAGTGAGTCTCAACATGCTCATTTCTCTCAGCAGGAAATCTGGACTGACTGAGAATGGCGATACAGATTTATGATCAATCACTCAGAGAGTTTCATCGCGGCTTATTTCGAATGCTTTCACCCGTCATTTCCGCTGCTTCATCGCCAGAGTGTAAGGAGAGACATGCCTAAATTGTCAAAACAGATTCTCGTCGCCATTGGTATTCTATATTCAAGGCCAAGGCATTCCTCTGAAGAAGATGCAGATTTTGTGCTACGGCAAAGTCAAAACTTGTGGCAAGATGGCCAAGAAGAACTTTGGCGACTAGTAAGCCAACCACTCGACATTCATGATCCAATATTGATATGTGTTGCAGGTGGAGACAGACTGGAGAGAAATCCGACGAACGTGGGTCATGCAAGCCTGGCTTCTGCACATCATCTACGGCGCCTTCACAGGCAATGCAACCCACTTTGATAAGGCCAAGAAGATGCTGCGTTGGGTGGTGGATGTACGTGACCTCTCTGTTTCCCTCACTAATTCATAGTCATCTCTTTCGGCTAATAAAAACTATCAGGCCGCCAGAGATTTGGGTCTTCTACGACAAAGCGTCTTCACATCTACTACAAGATTCCATGACGGCGAAGAGCAAACGCTTCATGACCACTGGATGTCCTACGTGGAGTCCGAGTCTATGAAGCTTTGCATGTACACCATACTTTTCCTAGACTCCCATATCTTCTCCCCCTGCAACATACGTCCCCTAACCACACCAATCGAGCTTGACTGGGAGCTGCCCCTTCCAGGTGCTCTGTGGGAAGCGGACACTTCATTGAGCTGGGCCCAAAGGCTCGGTGATGAACCCCGTACCCTTTACTTGACTCGGTCAGGCGACGCGTCCGGCATACCATGCCCCACAACAAAATCATTGAATTTGGCCATCCAATCACTAATGACTGATACCCCAAGTCCTCAATTATTAGCGGCACTCAAGGCTTCCACCATGGCAGCTATTTTCATCCTTACTAGTCTGGAGAGCCTCGTGAGGGAGTTTACGAGGTGTTATTATCAGATGCCGCCCGCCCTGGCCGATCCGAATGCTTTCCATATTCTCACACAATCACAAAACAGACAGGTCAGCGCAGCGTTGCGATATGCAGCTGAGATCATCACAGCGCAGCTCGCCCAGGCAAACAGTTCAAACTGGCACATCTTGAAGTTTGCAGATCGGATAGCTCTGTCCGTGAAACTCGCTCTCTGCAAGCCCGACGACCTTTTGATTGGCGGTATCGTTGAGAACAGTGTGGTAGCCGGCCTGACCACTGCCACACATCTCACTTTAGGTCTTCAAGTCGGCGCTCGGAGATCACTACAGAACCTTCTTCGCTACAACTCCGGAGACGATGGCATGCTTGTCTTCCTTGACGACCTCATGGATGTCCTCTCCAGCGTCACGAGTCTTGATAAGCAAGACCCCTTGCGTGAGGTACCGTGGGCTACGGTAGCCACATACAGGATCCTCCTCGCCATCTGGAGATTACTGCGCTGGGCAACCGGGGAGATGCGCCGAAAAGCAGGGTCTCAAGCGACGGTTCGCAGCCGCTTCGAGGCCTCAACAATAGTCTTCAACTCTATCCTGGAGGTAATCAGCTCTCCGGAGGAACTCGAATCACAGACCCGACGTCTCTCAAGGCCGGCTCGGGAGACTACCGCATTGGGAATGACCTCGGACGACAGCGAGGCACGCTTCATGGAGACGGTGTTGCAGTTCTGGAAGGATAGGCCGGTGTGGTCCATGGGATCCTTCATGACGACGGTGTTGGAGGAGATTATCTCGGCTGGCGGCATGGCTTACGAGTTAAGGGGCGCGGAGTGAAGCGCGCTGGGGTCAAGGTCAGGGGGGTTGGGACGCGCTGAGATGGGCCCAGCGGAGCTCCGCCGCCGCCGCCTCCGCAATCTTGAGCTGTATATCTTGCACTACAAAGAGACGATCGAGAGGTCACTTGCAACCAACCTGTGACATTCCGAACCCGCCGAGACACTTTCCATTCGTCTAAGCCACCAAAATATCTGAATCGCCTTCGTTTTGTTATCCGATAAGAATCAAGTTCCGTGGATATCGACCACCGCCAAGCAAGATGCCGGAAACAGAGAGCTTTGGATGGGTAATCTCATAGGCCCTGGCTCTTATCACTACTCCATGCTCACGTATCATCTAGTATGGCCTGGGGTCCATGGGTATCGGCATGGCGCTGAACCTCCATAACCACCTTGCAGCCAATGGTCTACCGCCACTTCGGTACAGCAACCGGACGTTGTCCCGAGGCGACGCCCTCCGAGAGGTTGGTGGTTTGCCGGAACGGGACTTTGAAACGCTTGTCCTCAAGTCCACAATTATCTTCACAATGGTACTATGCACTGTCTACTACGACCGTCGTCTGAACTAACCCGTCAAAGATCTCCAACGATGAAGTCCTGGAGAGCCTGATTTCAAAAGCTCTGAGCACATGGAGCGGCGCTCTGCTAGAAGGCAAGATATTTGTGGACACATCAACCGTTCACCCGGATACCGTGGCGAGATGCTCTGAGCGTCTTGCCAAGGCTGGTGCCTTTTTCATCTCCTCGCCCGTATTCGGCGCCAGCCCGATGGCGGCTGCTGGGAAGCTTATCTTTGCCATGGCTGGACCCTCCACAGCCTTGGAGAAGGTTCGTCCGTATGTTATTGATGTAATGGGAAGGAGCATTATCGACATGGGCGAAGATGTTCGCAAGTCGAGCCTTCTCAAGATATCGGGGTGAGTGACATTTCAATCATCCTCGAACAAAGATTGCCGCTAATACCCAAACCCAACAACAGCAACATCTTTGTCATTGGCTTTCAGGAGCTGACTGCAGAGGCTCAAGTCTTTGCGGAGAAGACGGGGCTGGGCACCCGCCAGATGGAGCAGTTTATCAGCGATATGTACGGCCCTGTCATCGAGAGCTACTCCAAGCGCATGACTACAGGGGCGTATGCGCCGCCATTGGGTACTCCTCCGGGGTTTGCCGTGACCCTTGCAACTAAGGACGCAGGCCACGCGATCAGGATTGCCAAGGAGAATGGAACTCGGATCCCGACGATTGAGACGGCGTTAGCCCGCATGGAGGCTGCGCGAGAGTTTGCTGGGGACTCTTTGGATAGCTCGTCTGTGTACGGTGCAGCTCGACTTGAGGCAGGCTTGCCCTTCTGGAATGAGACTAGCAGACAGTCAAATTAAGAAAAGCGAAGTTATCGTGTATTCTGGAAGATTGCTGTCGAAGGCTGCAACTTTTGCGATGAATCAACTCTCTTGACAGCGGAACATCGACTACATCGTGAAAGAGACCCATCATAGCAGACAAAGCTAAAATCGTCTTAAAAGAATTCATTACCATTATCTTCGGATGCCTTGTCCGAGAGTCAATGTCAACTTTGTCTTCTTCGATGCCTGTATGTCGGGGACTATCAATGATTACATCCGGCACTCGGGTAGCTTCTTCACCCCATTCAACCGACAAGATATCTTTAGTCATGTACACATGCACAGCTCCCCTTCCGCTGCAATCTACAAGGATAGGGGATCCTAGTCACCTCCCCAAGAATGCGGAGAGTTGGCCGAGGCGACGTCCCAAAATGCGGGGGCGGAGCTCCGTCGACGCGCATTTGACACTATGGAGCCGGAGATAGCACCAAGACTAAAACAGAAATCTCCTATCATTGCCCCAGACTAACGCGATAGCCAACCATTGACATCTAGTCATGGATTCCAACTTCCTGGGTAGGCACAGAGAGAGAGCCCTTGCCGGATGTACTGTGATCAGCCCGTCCGCGTCAAGATGAAAGGTATGCCTTGACCGTAACTGTTCCCGAGTGACGGGACACGTATAAACTCCGAGCCTCCCTTACGACTTCCAACCTAGACTTGAGCTGTCACGTTCCGTCTCAAAGGAGTTGAGCTGGGCTTCTGCTACGTCGGTCTTCAACTGCTTCTCTCAGGGATTCATTTCCATCTTTAGGCCTTCATTCCCCAGGGTCTAGGAAGCATCAAACATCGAGTCAAACTTTTACGAAAGGTGGAATATCCCGCATCCTCATTCGGCCTTCACACAACACCCTTCATAATGTCGTCCAACAACAAGGACAAGACAACCAGCCCAGACGGAGGCGACGTCATCCGAACTCAGACCGACTTGGAAGATGGCAGCATCGAGAAGCTCAAGCACGGCGAAGTCGACCCTGCCCTTGCCTTCGTCAACGGCGAACAAGTCCAATTTACCCCTGAAGAGGAGGCTGCTGTCCTTCGAAAGATCGACTGGGCCTTGATGCCCCTACTCTGCTGGATCTACGCGCTGCAGTTCGCCGACAAGACATCCCTCAACTATGCCTCGCTGATGGGCATCCGCGAGGACACCGGCCTGGACCCCCACAGCCAGCAGTACAGCTGGGCGTCGAGCATCTTCTACGCTGGTTACATCCTCTGGGAGTAAGTACACAATGATCACGTTGAATCACATCGTGCAAGATGCTGACTCTCACTCAAGATTCCCAACAACTTACCTCCTCCGAGCCCTGCCCCTCGGCAAGTACACCTCTGCCAACATCACCCTCTGGGGCCTCGTCCTCGTGTGCCACATCTTCGCCTTTAACTACGCCGGCCTCCTCTCCGTGCGCTTCTTCCTCGGCGCCCTCGAAGCAACCGTCACCCCGGCCTTCGTCATCCTCACCTCGGCTTGGTACAAGCAGAATGAACAGGCTAAGCGCATGGGCTACTGGCTCTCCTGCAATGGCGTCGCCCTCCTGACCCTCGGCCCCGTCGCCTACGGCCTCTCCGGGGCCCACAACACCGTCCTCGCGACCTGGAAGGTCCTCTACCTCGTCCTCGGCCTCCCCACCGTCATCACCGGCGCCTACTGCTGGTGGTTCATGCCCGACAACCAGACCAACGCCCGCTTCCTCACCCACCGCGAGAAGGCAATCTCCATCGAGCGCATCCGCGGCAACTTCCAGGGCATCGGCAGCCGCAAGTGGAAGTGGGACCAGTTCTTCGAGGCCTTCCGCGACCCCCGCACGTACCTCTACGTCCTCTTCTCGCTGCTCATGAACATCCCCAACGGTGGCATCACCGCCTTCGGCTCCATCATCATCAACTCCTTCGGCTTCAACTCGCGCCTGTCCCTGCTGCTCAACATGCCCACCGGCGTCGTCGACATCACCTGCAAGCTCCTCTTCACTTACCTCTCCGACCGCCTCCTCGACCGCACCCTCTTCGCCTTCATCGCCATCCTGATCCCCATGGTCGGCGGCATCCTCATGATCGCCCTCCCGCTCACGAACCAAGCCGGTCTGCTGGTCGGGTACTACTCCATCGGGGCCGCCGGTGCGAGCTGGTGCCTGATCATGGTCATGATCTCCAACAACACGCTGGGCTACACCAAAAAGGCTACCGTCAACGGCCTGCAGATCCTGGCCTACGGCGCCGGCAACTGGATCGGCCCGCAGACCTTCCGCTCCAACGAGGCGCCCAACTACAAGAACGGCAAGCTGATGGTGGCCATCATGTACGGTCTTGCGGCGTGCACCATCGTCGCGATCCGGCTCGTCAACATCTGGGAGAACAAGCGGCGCGACAAGAAGGCGGCCGAGCAGCCCGAGACCGTCGCGACGGGGACCGAGTTCTTGGATTTGACGGATTTTGAGCAGCCTGGCTTCCGGTATGTGCTTTAGAAAGAGGTTTTTGCCCTTGGGTTCCATGTAGATAATAGAGGAGGATCAGATTTGACACGTTATTTGGTGTAAGAAAGTGTAAGGCTGTTCTAGACCATACCGGCTGCACATCAAGATGTCCTCGCGTGATTGTTGCAAAGGAAAATTGTGTGGGTGTGTAGGCTATCATATGATTTCGACTCTGGTACAGCTTGATTGACAACGTGGCCATTCGTGGAGGTCTTGTTTACAGGCGCATTACTTGGCCAGGCCTGCGCTGTGAGCGTTTCCAACACTGATTGCGAGAAAAGTAGAACGGTAGACGGGCAATTATCAAGGTAAAAACAAGAAATCGAGACGGTTGGACGGTGTACGAAAGTCTGGAAAGATTCCTACCTATCTTCGCAGCAGTTTTGCGAGGAGCGAGTCGACGAGCCATAGTCAAGTCCACGGTTGAGACGTTCTTCTGCTGATGCGGCAATCGAGACCCAGCAGCACAGACGTCAAGAAGAACTGTCGAGGCCACAACAGCGTTGCCAGAGCCATCGGAGTAGGCTCAATCATCTTTTCTCCAAGCATGAGAAGACTGACTCAAGCGCTCTACCCGTCTACAACTCACGGATGACGCAGATAGGGCCGACAGGTTCTCTTGGACCAGGCAGCCTCGGGCGCTGACGACGTCGGCACCGGCGCGATACAGGCACGATCTTCGTCTTGCTGGACACGTAATTCAATCTTCTTCTTCTTCCACGAGCGCAGAGTAATGCTGAAGATGCAAGGTGGCTCGGACCGCGACGTCATCCTGCTGGATTGCATCTCGCCCGCCCGGCAAGTCTTGCGCGCGGGGTCCCTCAGCCGTCGAGCATTGGGTATATCAGGAGTACCGGGCTCGGTCTCGACCGTCATCGCCAACAGTGCTTCGATGCCAGACGTTATCAATCATCGTTCGAAGGAAGGATATCTACAACACCGGCTGGTCTCATCGTCCTGCATCCCGGGCTGCCTATCGTGGGCGCGGGTTTCTATGAAACAGAAAGGATCGGGAGCTGAGGCGATGTCGGGGCCTTACGCATACCGTGGCTGTCGTTCGACGTGCATTCAAAGACACGTGATGTTCAAAATCTACAGGAGACTCATGGATTGCAGCTGTGCTTCTATGGGAATCTGGTGCGCGGGTCTCGAGGTGGCTGCGGGGCAAAAGATCCCCAGCGACGAAGAACGCGACGCTTGAAAGACGAGAACGCGGGATCCAAGAGCTTCGAGAAAGAGCTGCCGAGCATCTCAGTAAGTGACGGTATGCCTCACATCAACATCGGGAATTGTGACAAAGAGGACAGCTTCGGTCGTACAGGGCACCGGATCAAGAGACGCAGCGTGGCTGCAGGAACTCCCCGAGAAGAGCAGTTTCCGGTGGGATTCTGTATGCGATTTCACAGGCACGATGCGCTGTTGACCCTGGTCATCGTCCCGAATTCGACCCTGAGGGCAGCACGTCGGCATCGCAAAGCTCCTAGAGACGGCACGAATGTCGCCTCGAGGTCGCGGACGAATTTACGGGGTCGGAGGCCAGTCAGAGACAAGAGACGCCGATGATAGACTCAGTTCGGGTATACGGAGAGAATCAGATTCCACATACAAGGAGACGGCCACACAAGGTCACCGGTGTTTGGCAAGTCACAGTTCTCGCCTAACCAGGGCCCGCCACTCGATCTGATTATACGTGGGAAAGTCGCGGTGCTCCTGTTCGAAACCGCGGTCAAGACTGACCGGCACTACAGAAGAGATAGCGCGAAGTGCCAATATTCAGGACACAGAGTCCTCCTCAAGACTTGCAAAGTGGACGGCCTCTCAGGCGGGGGCTTGGATTGTCCACGAGAAGAATGCTATCTCCAGACGGCGGTCGACTCTGAGGCAAGCCTGGCCACCCGGGCAGTATCAACAGCAAACCAGAGTCCATTGCTGGGATTATTGCACTTCTTCTCCCTTTCTCTCGCAAATTGCGCAATGCTGAGTCTTTGGGCAAGACCGTCGTTAATCTGGAGGCCTCACGCGAAAGCACGCAGGACACACACAAGGGAGACCAGCTCGCGGCCCTGGAGAATGCAGATCCCACGAATAACCCAGATCCGACTTGCTCGCAGATCAATTTGATCTCCCTCGTTGAGGGAATTTCAGCAATGCAGGTGCGGAGACCTGCAAGAAGGCCTGCTGGACGACAGAAAAACGAAGCAACTCCAAATGCTTGGCGTCTCATGGGGTGTGAGCCGCCGGGTCATTTCGGAGAGTTGATCGCAGCTGCTCGAATGGAGACGATGAGAAACAAAAATAGCTGGAAACGGAGATTGGAAACAAACAAAAATCCGCGATAGGAGAAAGGGGTTGGGGGTTACAGCTATTTTCTGCAAGTGGAGCTGTCCTTTCGTCGTGTCACTGGACCACTGGAAAGGCCAACATGACCCTGTGCGACATTCACAGGCCTACGGAATCATCAACTGTTCCAGAGACCAGTATTTTTGGTCAATAGTAGTTGAATGC